CCCCCCCCCCCAAAAGTCACCTTCAGTTTTCAATACATAAACATTGTTTCATTCCATATCTCTTTGGACTAGCAATACTTGATAATACTTCCAGCATAGGATGTCAGCAGCTTTTCTAACCCAAACGACTAAGGCCTTTGATTTAAGAGCTGGATTTGCTTATATTGGCATCTAGATAACACAATCTTAACATCTAATTTCCTGATGTTAAAAAATGGTCAAATCCCTGTGTCTTTAATTTAATTATAATAAGAGTATAAAACATATTGTCTCAAATGCTGTTTCTATGTCTGAAACTTTTAAGGCATATTTTGCATCCAATAGTATAAACACATTCACTGCGACGCAGCTGGTATGTTAACTCATACTCTACTTCCCCTACCAAACTTGAAATAAAGTTCTTAGATGTAATACCATTCATTCTGCCTTAGTATACAGGGAATCTCAAGTTTTAAGTGAGTTTTCTCCACAAGGAAATAGTGGTAACACTGACTTACCTCCCAGAGTTTAACCAGTCTGAAAATGTTTTATTGCTCAATCTTTGTATTTAAAGAATTACTCATAAGGAAGTTAGTGGTAAGCTGGCCCAAACCTGGGTCACTTGGGGCAGGAAGTGGCTAAGAAATTTGTAGCAGATTTTAAACTTTATAAAATCTGCTGGCCACTTTGGCTAAACACCCCAAAGACCACCTACTCCACTATTCCCTCCCAGCTATCACAGCAAAAAATTCCCACCAGAATGGATAGAAAGGAGGTTGCTTCTGACGGAACACAACCAAGGTAACCGTCTGGATTTTATGGATATTTAATATATGCCAGAAAGATAATTATAGATTTTGTCATATTATAAACATTTATAAACATTAAATAAGCCAGCCCACAGACCACCTACGCCTCACTCACAGATTATACCATAAATTCATACTACAAGAACTGTCCAAATGTAGGCATTTTGCTAAGCGACATTTCTAGTGTGTGCACAAGGAGTGCATACAAAACTAAAGCGATCCTGGAAACAATCTGCTGTACCTTATGCAGAAAGCAGTAACACCCTGAAGCCAGAAAATAAAGGGTCTCTTTTTAAAAGCAGAGGGCTTGAGACCTCTACTCTAAAATAAAAATTGGGTACCAACTTTAAAATGACTACACAAATTCACACTCTGAGCCTGGTGGCTTTCAGGAATGGGAGACCGAGCTTACTGGTAAACATGAAAATAAGTCTCACGATAATGACGAATCAGAAATTAGGAGACCTCGATTAATGGTAATAAGAAATAATTTAAAATATTTTTTAGACTTGACTTTGGGTGGTAAACACACAATACAATACACAGATGATGTATTGTAGAACTGTATACCTAAAACCTGTATAAAATTTTATTAACCACTATCACCCCAATAAATTCAATAAAAAAATATTTTTTAATGTTAGGTCATTTTAAAGAGCGAAGCGACCAAAATTAATGTTTCCAGAACTACTTGGACTTGTTTTTGTGACAACTAAAAAATGGTAAAAGGCTAAAATCTCGAATTCCATATTTACTCAGCTTAAACTCACCCCCCATATAACCTCAACAAATTTTAAGATGGTTTATAACAGAAATACTGAAAATAAATCATCCTTGAATACTTTTAGATTTTCCCTAGTGTACCACAAATCACAGCCAGAAACCCAAACAAAACAATCACTGAAATGCTTGAGATCTGCTGCTGAATCAGAGCTGCAGACAAGAAAAGGAGAGCTAGGCGGATGCCTCCCCTTTTCTCTCTCTGCTTGGGTAGCACCGCTCTTTCCGAAGTCCTAGGCCATGCGCATTCACGCTGTGAGTCAATAAAAGCCAGCAGTAACACTATAATAACAATAATAATAACATAAATAACAATAGGGTCTGGTTGGAGGGAGGGGGTTCATTTACTGCTGCCTGCTGAGGTACATCTGACCACGGAGAGCAGAAAAGCTATTAGCATCCTGCAGTAACGGGTGCCGTGGTTTTCGAACAAGATATTTTCATGATGGACACAATGTAGACTCAGCAAAGTTTCTCCTTCAAGAAAAATATAGCTTCTATTTCAAAGAGCTCTGATTAGGCTTAATACTATTAGGAAACCATCAAGGATGTGTGTTGTTGTTACTGCTTTTAACTATCGGTTGCTTTCTAAACCAAAAATTGTGGGTAGTTAACTTGACCGACAGTCAAGGTTTAGGAATGCAGGAGCAAATCCAAGGTACAGATGAGCTTCAGATGTGGACAGGCCTCAAGTTGGGAAGCTTTTTAGGTTGTCAGGTTCTAGCCTTTCTCATCACCACCATTATCACTGTTATGACTTACTTGTCTGACATTTATAAATAAAAATTTATTTCCTTCATCACCTTCCCCCTGAAAAGCACCAAATACAACTTTAGGAATCCTCAGTAAGCTTTATTAGTGGCAATGTAAATCAATTACAATAAAAAAACAAATAAAACAACTCTATCTAACAAATAAACTCTAAACTACTATTAACTGCCTATAATATATTTGGTAGATAGCTGTTTAAAAAGTCAACAATATTAGCTTCCTTTGTAAATTACCAAAACTATAACTGTTTTCAATTTCCATAATACTTGAAAGTACAAATATAAATTAAATAAGATTCAAAAGACCACATACAACAAAATAGCCTATAAAACAAAGCTAATTTTAAAAGAATTGTTCAATTTACTTTGTAGCATTTATTTTGTTATATAAAATTATTTGAAACAGTACATGTTTTCTGTATCACACATGACAGTTCACTTCCAGATGTCTTTTCTATGAAATCCTTATTCTTTCTCCATTGTCAAAATCTTAATTTTCACTCCTGGCTAGATTTTTCTTCTTTGGCAATCCTTTTTGTTATCCCACTGAAATATTTCTCACGGAAGGAATTATGGCCTTGGTATGGCAGAAACTGATCATTTAGCAGATGTGAATACTGGTCCCGGTTCTGATTGGTTGGAAAATACAGAAAATAAAGATGTTTGAGTTGAAACAGTCATTTACTTCAAGCAAAATCTCACTCTCTGGTGTATATTTGTTTGACTTTTCTTTTTTTTAATTACCAGAATTAGAAATATATCATCACCACTTTATACTTGCTTGGGTATCTAAAGTGTTTTCACCTACTTCACCTCACTTGATCCGCACAATCCTCTGCACAGAGAGGACAAACACTTTTACTGAGAAAACAGAGACCTAGAGAGGGCAAAGAGAGTCATCCCAGGCAACATAAGCTGAGAGGACCACGTGCTTCTTCTGACTCCTAGTTCAGCACAAACTGAGATCATCTATGACTGTAAGAATTGTCAAACAAGAAGGCATCTACTCCGAAGGTATATAACAACAAATTACTGCACTTGTATAATAGCATACAGATAAATCAAACTGTTTGGGGATACATCTATATCCAATTAATAAATTAATAAACTATACCTAGCAACTTAAAGTTACCACAGTAAATGAAGACACAAGATAAACAAGTGATCTCCCCACTTTTAGGCTTCAGAGACAGGTGAGGGCTAGTGCTCAGACGGACATCTGGACGTTGCAATAGCAATCTGGATGAGGGAGTCATGTTTTCCAGCTTAGATGACTGAGAGAAAAACACTGAAAATCAACTTCTCATTCAATTTCACTAGTCATCTCAAACCATGAAAAAAATCTAATGAGAAATAAAATCTCATTTCCCATGTACTTCTCTAAATTTATATTCAACTGCATGTGGGTTAATGTGATTTTGAGAACAGGTGTGGAAACACAATTAGAAAATATGAAGCTTAATTTTTTATCCTGGTTTCAGTATCAAAATGGTATCTACAAACATATCTGTGATATAACAATCCTCAAAATACTTTCACATTTTTCCTTATTCCTGTATAGGATACATGTCTTACTCCTTTCCCTCATAACTAATATTAATAAAAGCTTAGGTACAGCCAAAACAAAATCAAATTATTAAACGTACCCAGATTTCCTGATTCATTTAAAAAAAAAAATTATGGCACTAAGTATATTACAGTTCCAAATTCATGCAAGCACACAAAAACATGACAATGGTTACTAACTTCAGGCTATATAATCCCCAAAAGATGATATATTTACCTGGTCAACCTGTAGGTATACAATTACAGAATACCAAATGAAAGGCAGTATTTACTGGGCATTTATTATAGGCCGAAACCTATACTAAATGCTTTACATGCACTATCTGACATATGCGAGCCAGCTCGCAGAGGAAAGTACACTATCACCACCTTTGCAGATGAGTTATTTAAGAGTGCAGCCCAGGACAACAGCTGTAAAGGACAGAGCTAGAATCTGACCACTGGTATATCTCACCCCAGAGACCATACTGTTAACTACAACACAGTGAGGTTTCTCCAAAAGAACTGACTGTTTCCTTGACTCTGGAAGGAGAAGCACCTCTGGGAATAAACAGGTGATGTACTAAGCCCTACCCAGAAGGAACCAAGAGGACCAGAGGTACAGTGAACTTAGTTCCAGTACCTGAGAAGACATATTTCAGTGACATAAAATTTTCATTCCAGGAGGGTACTTAAGGAGCCTTGGGAATGCCTGAGGGACACCTTAAGCCTAGAGCAGTCGACTTCAGAGGACCCAAGTCTGATCCATCTCAGGACCACATGTGGGAGAGCAGCGATACAGAGCAACGTGCCCACGTCAGCCTCTATCAAGTGTGACTGAAGACTCATATGAAAGGGAGGACCATGCTCTCCTCTGCTTCTCCAGGTGTTCCAAATCCTGGCCTTATATCAAATACGATCACTGGAAAATGTGTCCACTTCCTGAACTACATCAGCTTAATCCTAGAAGAAATGTCTTCACGTGGCTGTACTTTAAAAGCTAAGTTTAGATGCTGACATCTCTCTGCTACCCTCCTTCTCAGAACTCTCTCCCTCTTTCTCCACCTAGTCATCAAGGTCAGAAACTTGGGTCAAAGCCCTGTCCCTTTTCTTCTGACACTTAGTCTTAAACCCTGAGGCTCTGCACCCTGAGTGCCCCAGTCCGCTCCTCTTCACGTAACCCATTCTGAAGTCTGAGCCTTCTCTGTCTCTCCTCGTCTTTCCCAGGGGCCAGTGGCCCTGTCTTCAGTGGCCCCTGCTCCAGTCCATTCTTCATGCTGAGACCAAACTCAACGCATTAAGTGCAAATCTAATATGCCAGCATTTCTGGCTAAAATCTAAATGGGTTTAAACTCTCCCCAATTCCGAGGCTTTCCCTCAATGTTTGGGCAGTAGATTCGATTGCACATCAGTTTGCTGAATGTCCTCTCACTTTCCTCTCCTGTAGGAGAGGGATCAGCACTGTCAGGCAGCAGGGTCCTCCCCAGCTTTGCCCTTCTGCCCTTTTCTCCCGGTGACTCCTCCAGGCCATGCAAAATCACCTCTACTGGAAATGACTGTGGACTATGTCAGGGGCTGTCCTGGAGCTGCAGTGGTGAGGAGGAGATAGGACAGAAATGTGTGACTCCAGGGTGCAAGTTTAGAAGGCAGAGGCATGGTGAGACAGCCGAGGACAGGCTGGGGACAGACTCAGGTTCAGGTGCTTGTGTGCCTAGCCAGCCACAGCTGCCGGGTAAGCAGCTCACGGGAGGAAGCAGGAGACAAAAGCCGAAGCACAGTGGAAAACAGGCTTCCTCTTAGGGCAAACTGGTGATAAAGAACAGAAAATTATAAAGACCAGAGCTGGAGACGGGGAATGAACAGAAGAAACCTGGAAAGCCCAAAAGGAATGATTAAAATGTATGCTAATTAACAGCTATCTAGAAAACATGTACATACTACCTATGACATTCTTTGTATGAACAGCTCCAATCTCAAGATTTCCTCAGAATAAAGCAAAAGCAAAAAAAGTCCCTAATAGATCATGGGTTGAGTTCCACAGGGATCCAGTGGCAGAGAAAAACATGCTACTGGGGAAGTTGGAAAGACCATCAACCTTAGAAATGCAACC